TTTCATTTATTTCTTCTTTTTTTTTTTTTTTTTTTTTCTTGGAACAATACTAATACACGACGGAGGCATGAAATTTGAGAAATCTATCAGATTTCAATGTTTCAGCTCAATACAAAATGTCATATTTGCTTCCCTATCGATGGACAAAAGAAAAATATATAAATTCGTCGGAGCTGGAACAAATAAAATACAACTCTGCTGGGTTGTGCACAATATCGACGAAGATTGAGATAGACTCGAGATATAACTATAACGAACTTGTCAACCTTCCTCCCCAAACTCCTTCGTAAACTTTTCGTGAATCTCCAGATCAGATTTACTCACCGTAGGCCTTTGTCTAGCTAGAACCTTGTCAAAGTCTGTTCTTGTAATTGGAGGAGGAAGAATCTGCACCCAAACAAGTAAAAGATGTTAGTAATATATATATATATTTCTCACTTCATGAAAATTGCCAGTAACTAGCCACAGGGAGCACCTGTACTGCACGTCAAATATCAAAATTTAAATCCAAACACTCATTAAGGATGGTAAGATGCGATGTACCTTTGAGGCGAGTCCTTTGGCTGCCAACTCTTGCATGGTAATTTGGACAGCGCCTTGTTGCTTTGGTCCACAAGGTACCCACATACCATCAGGGGTCTTGATGAAGAACATAGCATCTTGTGTTTTACGAACAGGCTCAAAGAGCACATCCTTCACCTGCAAATTTAAGAAGGGGTCCATGAACTACGTTCTGACTAATCTCTGATTACACTTCAATGAATAATTCAGTTCCTCCAACTACTATAATACACTTACACAAACAGAAACATCTGAGCCAGAGAAACCATCTGTCCTGCGGGCTAAGCTTTCAAAATCTGCTTCCGTTAAATTATGTGGTGTATCCCCCAGATGCACCTATTTAAATACATCTAGGAATTTAGCAGAGTTCATTCCAGGCGAAAAAGAAAAATCTAGCTTTTTACAGGACGAAATAAAATATAATTCCCAGGACTTTGAACATGTGCTGCCTGGCTTTTGCGTCGGGAAGAGGGATGTATATCCGCTTGTCGAATCGTCGACGAATGGCCTGTACACACTACTTATCAGCAAATATGCATTACACTTCCGTAATCCTTTACATGATGTGGAAATAGACAATTTTCATCTTCACCTGATCCAAAGCATAGGGAGTATTTGTTGCAGCAAGGACAAGAACCTTTTGATCATTGTGTCCTACACCCTATTAATGCAAGAAATATATGCTTCAATTTTCAAATAACATTAGTAACAAACAAGGTAAAGTGAGATAATACCCATGGATTTTGTTTCAAAACCATTTCTAAATACATTCTCTATTTTTTGGAAGAAGAAAAATCGATGAAAGCATATTTGGATTCCATCCCCTTTCCCTAAATTTATTCCTGAAGTGAATCACAAAGTACTCTTCTCCAAAATAAAATAACACAGACACAATAAGTTCTTGCTTAATTAGTGATACATGAGTAAGATTATTTAACTGTAATTAGAAAATAAACTACATTTTCATTGTGCAAATTTCACTAAGCATCAAAATTCATCTGACAAATTATTTAATACAGAGATAATTCGCAACATACATACAGAAAAATAAAAAACAAACAGCACGCATGAAACATGTGGAACACACATTAAAGGGTGGGCACGTTAAAAAAACAAGAGAAAATTATAATGAGTTCAAACCCCTCGGCCTCAGGCTTGCTCATCCAGGTCCCCATCTTTGTCCATTGCCCAACTACCAAATGTTAAAATGTGAACACAGTAGTAGCAAACCCATACAAATGGAGAAGTTTGAAAATTTTTGGATTTTTTTGCAAGATATGAAACAAACCAGACATTCTAAAGCCTTAGGTTTAAGCAGTGAAAACCCAGGTCGATGGGCAGAATCTAAACAAGTAATTGGACTGTTAATTATTACAAAAGTCTTCAGATCTAACTGAAGTCAACTTTCAACTAGCAAGAAAACACTTGAATGTTGGTCAGCAGCAAGTAAGGACACATTTTCAGAAAATAAGAATTCTCAAGACAATGGAATGGGCAAAGGGTGCATAAGATAATAATAATCAACCCCCTCCTTCAATACACAAAATACTAACACTGTTACTCTACAAAAAATACCTGCATTTGCACAAGAAGTTCTGTCTTAATGCGCCTTGAAGCTTCACTTTCATTACCTTCACCTCGTTGACCACACAGCGAATCTATTTCATCAATAAAGATGATAGAAGGAGCACTATCACGAGCCATTTCGAAAAGATTTGAAACTAGCTTTTCACTTTCACCCATCCATTTCGAGACAAGGTCCGAAGAAGAAATGCTATCAGCAGAAAATGAAAACATACTCAATTTAAAACAAAAGGTATAGAACCAGCAAAGGACTGAGATTAGTGATAACTAAAAACACATTCAAATAACCGCCAAAGATATCCAGATAGAAAGTGGAGTGTGTATGCACTGCAATTCAATATAATGGGAATGAAAGGAAAATCTGTTATCAGACATGTTGAATAGAACATTTATAAAATGATATTCCACACAGCTAAATCTGTTATTAACCCCTTGGATCCTCAACTCTAATGCAAATAAGCGACATCGCCTTAAAATGATATTGTTCATATTCGCTGCACTCTTTTATACTAGCTGCTCACATGTCATAAATTTTGTTGATGCCATAATTTAAAAAATAAAATAAAAAAAATAAAAAAAAAAGAGCTGCATGAGTATTTGAGGGTTGTAAGTTGCTCACAGGGTCACCTTATAAGAAAACAGCAAGGTAAGTGAAGAACTATATTGAGTCGCGACTAAACAAAAATAACAGAAGACAAGTTCATATGCTCGAAGGACCATTACCTGAAAAATGTTGAGTCGGCCTCCGTCGCAACAGCCTTTGCCAAATATGATTTTCCAGTTCCAGGAGGCCCATATAACAAGAAAGCTCGCCATGGTCGCCTCTTGCCTAAATAAAGCCAGATAATTATCTTTGACATGTTTTTATTTAAAACCTAAGCAGAAACCTTCATAATGAATTGAAAATGAGAACATGTCTTCTACACATGTTTATTCCATGTCCAATTCAGTAATTGAAGGGGTAGAATCAAGCAATTGATCAGGATAAGATTCACCGTTAGAATTAAACAAGAAGATGGTGCTCAGGATCTCCTTCCAACTCCAAGAAAGAGGAGAACAAAAAGGACAAGCAAGCATTCATTCCAGCTTAATCGTAATCATTACGCATCAAATCAGACTCAAATGCGAAAGGAATAAAATCCCAATCTCAAGGAGACAACGCAACTTTACCGACGTGATAAAGACCATTGCAAACGAAGAACGTAGATCAATATGTAGTATATCGAAAGAAGTCAAATGGAACTAACCAGTAAAGAACTGCGGGAACTTAACGGGTAATATTACCGCCTCTTGCAATGCCTGCTTGGCGCTCTCTAAACCAGCGACATCGTTCCACTTGACATCCGGCTTCTCCCTAATAATCGCAGAATTAAGACCGGCCCGCAGCTTCGTCTGTTCTGGATCCTCTCCATCTCCTCCATCGCCATCCTTGGGCTTCGTTTTGGGCTTAGTCGCAACCGCTGCATCCCCATTGGAAGCCGGACCAGGACCGCCATCATCGAGAACCGCACGTATCTCCTCGGCACGGCGCAAATACTCGGTGAATTTCTGGGTGATGGCTTCCTTGATCTTAGGATTCTTCTCATACTTCAAATGAGTTTTGAAGTACTCCAAAGCGTTCATATACAGGGGGAAGGCTTTCGCGTAATTGCCAGCATTATCTTCATGTACCGCCTGCTTCACGTATTCGATAGCTTGCTCCTTGAAATTGCTATACATCTCTGGAATAACTTCAACCAAGTTTCATAGATAGGCTAAAACAGTGCGTGCAAATTGTGTCCCGAGGAAAACAAAAACCCTAGAACATCGATCTTTGACTCTTGGAATCTCAAATCAAAGCAAACAAACGATTGAAAACCTAGATTTCAAGTGGTGATTTCCAAGGAAGCATATAATTTACCGGGAAAATTCTTTGGCTCGAGATCGGAGGCTGAAGCTTGAATGGATTAGATCGGTTGAAAAATAACGTTAAGCAAAGCCTCACAAACAAGGAAAACAATTGCAAGGGAAAATCTTATGCCTCCGGGAGGCTCAGTTCAGCAAATAGCCCTCGCGTGTTGAAAAGTACACATTATTCTTTTTTATTATTATTATTAAATTAGCAATTTAGTTAATTTATTTTTTTTCCTAAGTTTCTGATTTTAATTTAATGCCTGCGGAACTTTAAAATTGTCGTTTTAAATTAATTTAGGTGTATATGTTTAACTTAAGAATCGGATAAACATTTCTAAATTTATTAAACTAAAAAATTGAAAAATTAAGAGCATAATATTGGTAATTTAATTAGTTTTAAGAAATAATAAGATTTTATAATATCTCACCATACGAGGTTAAAAACTCGAGACGTAGAGAAATGGAACATGCCTCTTTTTTAATAATTAACTTTAGGTAACATGTAAGGTCAATATGCGAACAATATTAAGTCAACCCAAATGGGTACTAGTGTTTTTTTTTTCTTTTTTTTTTTTTTTCATTTGAGGTGTTTACTTAAAAAATAAAAATAAAAAATAAATTACGATATTGAATAAATCAAATTTTATTTTGCATATTAACAAAAAATTAAATTCTTAAAATATAGCCTTTTACCTTAAATGTACAAAAATAAAGAAAATGGGAAATGAATAAAAAAAATAATCCGCATTTAATATGTTACTTTAGAAAACTAATAGTATTTTTTAAACACGAAATTTTTAAAAAGTTCGATAACATTAATCATTTTTAAAAATTAAACTGTATTTTTTAAACAATTTTGAGCTGGTATTTTGACTTTTTTTTTTAAAATTAATGGTATTTTTTGGACTTTTCATAAGGTGATTCAAACTTTTTTTAATTTAAAAATATATTTTTTAATTTAGTATAAAGAAAACAACAGGTAATTAATTTATTGGATAAACAGAATGACCTTTTTCATAAAATAACAATTGAGATGAGTATGCATGGTGATGTTCTTGATAAGCTTCAACGTCAACAATATCTAAAAAAATAAGTGAATTTAGAAAGAAAAAGAAAACTTATATTATCTGCAAATTAAAAAAGAAAGAAAATCGGTAGCCATGGACTTGAAAACGAAATTAAAATGAATTAAACTCGGCGATTTCTAGATGATTTGGATCGCCAGCCTACTTACAACCCTGATTTGGTTTTCACGCGTAGTTTTTATTACGGCATTGAACCTGCGAAACGCGCATTTAAAGAGATGGAATCGGCGTTTGTTTGGTGGCGAAGAAAAGTGGAAAAAGAATTAAAAATAAATTATTAATGTTAAATTCAATATAATTAATAGAAATAAACAGGTGGAATACCAAATACGAGAGAGGAAAAAAAAACGGGGAAGGGCAAAGGAAATTGTCTGGAACTTTCTTTCAGACCCAAAAGGAATCTCCAGAGAACTCACAACCGCCCTTTCCCGTCTTGTCGGTTTACTCTTCTTTGGCCTTTTCAATTTCTTCCTTTATAATTATTTTGGAGATTCCTTTGCTGTTCTTCAAAGCCATAGCTTCGATTCCTCTCCTTCCTTCGGTTCTCTCTTTCGGAATCGGTTGTTTTTTCCAGTTCGTTTCGTTCGATCGTCTATTTTATCGATTTTCTGCGGATCGTTTGAATCATTGCAAGCAGGTAATCCTCTGTCTTCTCTGGATTTTTTCTTCTTGTTTGTGGATGATTTTGTTCGTTTTCTGATTTGGAATTTGACCTAATATGTTTGTTTTGTTCTTCTGATTTGTATTGTTGTTGTAGATTATAGATATTGTTTAATTGAGGTTGGAGAAGGATGGCGGAAGAACATCGATGCCAAGCGCCGAAGCTCTGCGTCAATAACTGCGGATTCTTTGGGAGTCCCGCGACTCGAGATCTTTGTTCAAAGTGCTACCGAGATCTGCAGATAAAGGAACAGCAATCCTCCTCCGCCAAGCTTGCCCTAAACCAAACCCTAACATCCGCCGTTACGTCATCCTCGTTCGCGGATGCCGCTTTGTTAGATCTGAAACCGGCTTCAACAGAAGCGAACCAGCCGCTGGCGGAGGTGGCAGAGAAGGCGCAGACGAGGACGGAATTGGCGCCGGCACCGGCACCGGCACCGGCACAGCAGCAGCCGAGCCGGTGTATGACGTGCAGGCGGCGCGTGGGATTGACAGGGTTTAAGTGCAGGTGCGGGATGGAATACTGTGGGACTCACCGGTACCCGGAGCAACACGGGTGTGAATTTGACTTCAAGCAGATGGGGAAGGATCAGATCGCGAAGGCGAATCCGGTGGTGAAAGGAGAGAAACTGCAGAAGATCTGAGAAAGAGAGGGACATAATGGTCATTTTGATCATCATCTTTCTTCCTTGATGCATGTCGATTTCGTGTGGGGCCAGCTTGTGGTGGGTTAGCCGACGGGACGGGTGCGTTGGACCATTTCGAAAATATTGGTGGTTGTATAAATATTCAATAATGTTACCTGTATTTCAATTTAATTCTACTTAAAACATGGAAAAATGTTTACCTGATCTAATTTTAGGATTGCATCAATTAAATCATTGACCAAACCCAACATAAAACTAATAAAATATTTATCATACAAGATTATTGAGACTTGTTTTCGTAATTACAAAACATAATGAAGGACTGGTCAATAGGGACGTAATAGGTAGTTAAATAAATAAAGAAGGTTCATAATTTATGGTTAAAAATAAAGAGTATGGTTAAAAATAAAGAGCTTGGCATAATTTGGAGGTAGTTTAAACGTCATACGCTTGGCTCGAGAGTGCGAGAGGTTTGAATGAGTATATACTGAACTCTGCATAAACGGTCAAATATTCACTCTTTTTGTCATACAAAAAACGAGTATCCTGCCCGTGCTAGCAAATTTATCTAAATTTAATTTGCAAGCGTGGATTGCACTCTCGACATTGTTAATTAATTTAATTAAATAATATTATCGTTAATCATTGAAAAAAATAATAAAAAATGATTTTTTTGTTAGAAAAAATAAGTTTTGAGTTGGATGATAATGGTGTGTTTTAGCCACTAAACCAAGCATGATCCATGATATAAAAAGTTAAGTTCGGATTAAAACTGATTTTGTTTTATTTTGTTTATAAAAAAAAAAAAAAAAAAAAAAAAAAAAAAAAAAAAAAAAAAAAAAAAAAAAAAAAAAAAAAAAGAGAGAGAGAGAGAGAGAAAAAGGAATATTCCCCAATCGAGTTCACGAAAAATGACAGGTAAAAGTAGCGGGCTGATCTGATTCTGAAGTAGACCGTCATCTTATGCCGAAAAAAAAACCAGTATCGTTCTTGTCGCAACATTCTGTATCTAGGAATAATATTATATTCGTTAAACCGATCCCCACCAATAATTAAATTTATAATTCATTAATTAATTCTATATTATAAGCTTTAATCATGCTCTTTCTCGTGATTACCAACCAAACCCCTCAATAATAATAAGGTGCCACGTCAAGTTCCATTTAGGGTATAAAAACACTCGAGAATTTCTTGGATTATGTGTGAATTCCAGTTCCATAAGCGTGGTACATTATGAGCCAGAGGCGTGATCTGAACCGTCTGATGTAAATACCATAATAAAAAAGCCACGTGGAGCCATCCATTTGGTTACTGACATGTACTGCGCCTTACCTTATAATTTTTTGTGTATATAAAGCGTGCAATAATGGCCGGAAGATCGACGGGAAATACCGTCGGAATTCGAAAGACAATGCTTGTGATTCTGAGCTTTCTTTGCTTCTCTCAATGGAACCCGCGGATCTATGTTAGGGTTTGTAACTCTGGTTTCAATCTTATGGTTTCTGGGATTCTTTGTTTGTCCGTCACTTCTACTGAACTCCCTGATCTTCTCTGAATGCTTTTTTTTACGTTTTAATGGTGAATGGTGGCTTGGAACCGACATTGGGGTTCTAAGTTCTAACAGCAAAATTTGTAGTTCAGTTACTTGTAGTAGTGTTAATTAGGTAACTGCTTGCCTGCTGTTTCTTTCGGATCTTTATTGGTGTTACTGTTCTTTGAGACGATTCTCTTTTGGATCGGTGTATTTTGTATCTAACTCTGTATTCTGGATCTTCGGGATTTCATTTTCGCTCGGATTCTCTGGATGCGTGGTTCTTGTTTCTTACCTACTCTTTCAAATCTCGTCACCGACGAGATTGCATTCATGTTCACTGCTTGTTGCTTTTCAAAATCTCTAAGCAATCACAGAAATCTCGCCTTTTCCGAGTTCAAATTCGAAGCATCTTAACTGTTCCCCTATTATCTCTTTGGATGCCGAACTTCCTGGGAGTCGATCTGCGACATATTGGTTCAAGATCTGTCCAGCCAATGCTAGGTTTCATTTAGCATTGCCCCACAATCGGTCCGTCGCGATGAAGCGCACGGTCCGTCCAGTGTTCAGCGTGCTGCTGTTCCTTACCTTTGCCGTCACTCTCATCTGCCGCCTCATCTTCCGCCGCGGCCTCAGTTTCTTTGAGATGGAAACTAATGTAATCTCTCCAAGATCTCCAGCATTCATGTTCAATTCCACACTGCTGAAATTTGCTTCGGTTGATTTGGGAGAGGCTCAGTCGAAGCGAGAGATAGAGCAGTTATTGGAGGGGAAATTTGGTGGTCCGAGGACGTACAAGACTTTCGCTACTTGGCGAAGATTCAATCACTATGACATGAAAGCGAGGCCCTCGAATAGCTTTCCAGTGACATTCCGCTCTCCAGCTTTCTACCGACATTGGTTGGATTTCAGGCGGGCATTGAGTGGCTGGGTGAGAAGAAAAGGGTTTACAACGGATATAATGCCAGAACTGGTAAGGCTTATCAAAGCCCCACTGGACAGGCACAACGGGTTGGTGGGTTCAGATCAACGGTATTCATCATGTGCCGTCGTGGGAAACAGTGGAATCCTATTGAACAGTGATTATGGGAAGCTAATTGACAGCCATGAGATTGTTATTCGATTGAACAATGCAAAAACAAACAAGTATGAGAGCAAAGTTGGGTCCAAAACCAGCGTTTCTTTCATCAATAGCAACATCTTGCACCTTTGTGCCAGAAGAGAAGGGTGTTTTTGCCATCCTTATGGGCCAAACGTGCCGACAATCATGTACATTTGTCAACCTGTACATTTCATGGACTACACTGTCTGCAACAGTTCCCACAAATCCCCGCTGCTGATAACAGATCCAAGTTTTGATGCTCTGTGCTCTAGGATTGTAAAGTATTACTCAATCAAACGCTTTGTGGAGGTGACAGGGAAATCGTTGGAAGAATGGAGCTCAGCCCACGAAGGTCCCTTATTCCACTATTCTTCTGGCATGCAAGCCGTTATGTTGGCCGTAGGAATTTGTGACAAAGTAAGCATATTTGGGTTTGGGAAATTGGCTTCAGCAAGGCACCATTATCACACAAACCAGAAGGCCGAACTGGGTTTACACGATTATGAGGCAGAGTATGCTTTCTATTACGATTTGATTGCTAGGCCACAGAGAATACCTTTCTTGTCGGACAAGTTCAAGATACCTTCTACGGTTTTATATCGATGATTTTGATGTTATTAGGTAACTTGCTTCATTATTTTTTGGTATATTTTCGTTAGGCTGGCCAATGACTGGTCGCAAAGGAAATTTTTTTTCTTTAGTGCTTTTAGGCTATCCTGTGTACAAATGCTTTTTACAACTTTGCACATAATAAGATTTTTGAGCGAGCATGATTTGGAACTTATGAATAGGTATCATGAATGAAATCCTAATTCCCATCCAAATGTGGGGAAGGGAAGGAGTCACAGAGAGCTGTCTTTGTGCTCTGAATCAATTTAAGAGCCACAAAGGTGTTCTGGTTCGTCTGTCCTTGTTCTACCCAATGCTTTCACTCCCACCACCTCCTAATGACTTTGTGTCCTGTCCCAACCACTTTAGCTCATTAAATACAACCTCCTACTACTACTAAAAATGTAGGTAGTAAGATCTGTTTATACACACTATCTCAAATAGTCCTTTTTTTGCCTTTCTTTTTTTAGTTTCTTCTTAAGGTTTTTAAGATTTCTACACCCTTGTAAAGAATGTTTCGTTCTTTCTCCAACCGGTGTAGGATCTTTTGTTGTTTCTATAATCTCTTCTCCAAGAGAAGCAATGGCTATGACCAAAGACCCTTCTCGTAAAAACGTACCTAGCTACCTGTTCTGCAGCATCAGAGGACACAACCGCTCAGCCAAGCTTCAAAGTAGAACGAGAATCCTGGTTGAGGTACATTTTGATTTGATGTTTAAAAGAAAATATTGGTACTGCTGAGTACTAAGTAACCTAAAAAAATCAAAGGTCTGGTGGAGTGCATAAGAGTGAACCATCTATTACCATAATCTGTCTTCTCTTATATCAGATCCAAGTGAAAAGAAAAAGTATGAGATCCAAGTTTCCAGCTTCAAGCACTTGGGGGTTAAAGATTTGGAAAGTAGCTGAAAGTGAGAGACCATTCCATGGGTTCCCTTTAACATTGCTTAAACTTTATGACAGAGACACGTCCATGCTTGTTCCTGACTTCTCTGTCATACTACTAGAATTAGAATTCCATGTGTTATGGGACACCAGGGTGACTGCCACATATCCAATTCGATTCCTTTTGAAAGCCCCACCCATTGACAAGTACTAAATGTTAAGGGATAATATCATACCAAGGTATTTATTATGTGAGCTCCAAAGATGCAGTTAAGTTAAGTGATTCAAGTATCGAACAAATGATGTAACTTGTTGGAGTTCGATACACAAATGACCACTACAACACAAAGCTCATTGCCTTTATATAAGTTTATGTAATGTAAGAGTTATAATATATAGTGTTTTATACATCCTTAACTTGTTGTAAAATTTTCAGCATTTTCATATAAAACCCCAACTCTTTCCCCTTCACCAACCCGTGCTTGCATTCCTCCTCATCGTCATCAACCTCTGTGTTGGCTTCTGTCTCTTTTCAGGCTTCCTCTGCAGTATCTGCAATGGATATCCATTCAAAGGGTTATGCAAGGCAATCACAATAATCTCATACTGAAAAACCTCGAAAAATCGACCCGAGTTGCTTACCTCTTGCTTTCTTTTCCTCTCTGATTCAGCCTGCACAGTTTTATGTTAGATAACAATTGTAGTAATGTAGAGAGTTGCTAGACAAGGAAAAAACTTTACCATGATTTGCTTTAGTTTTACATTCTCTTCTTTAAGCTGTTTCAGTTCTGATTCCAACTCCACTGTGTATGCCTGCAATCCAAACCCAGTAACTCGGATGAACGAACAACAGCAACAGCAACAACAACAACGACTCAATGTCTCGGTGCATCAATGACTTAAACAAATGTAATTTACACGATCATATGAATCATAGTTTAGTTCAAACCTGCTTTCTAGCCCGAGATCGAGCAGCCGACTCCCGATTCTTGATCATCCTGCGCTGTCTCCGCTGCACCACAACTTCTGTGGGGCCATCAACTATCCTCTTCTTGTTGCTAGGCTCAGCCCAATCAGTCAAGCTTTGGCATTTCTGAATCGAGCTGCTATCAGATGGTTCCCCAACTGATGGGGTGAGCATTTGGTAAGTTGAAAAGCAATTCCCAGACATATTTCTGATTCTTGGAGCATCATTCTGTTGATAAGACAATGAAAGCCCCAAGTTATTTAAAGAACATGCCTGCTGCTGCTGCTTCATTGAACAAGAAGAGGAAGCTTCTTGAACCACTCCAGCTTTCACCAAGAAATCTTCCAAAGTCATTTCTCTTAAAGCTTGCTGGCTTTGGCAAGCGTTTTGCTGAACATTTATGAACTTTTGGCGATGTGGGTTCTGTTCATCTTTATGAATCTCAGACCATATCTCATCCACAGTCTTGCCACAAAGTGGAATGGGGATAGAAATAGAGCCCTGTTCGTACAGGGCTGGCCTTGAATCATTGACAGCCATGAAAGGGCGATCTTGAGGTTCATTTTCATTGGTTTGTAATTGTGAATGAAATTGGCTTTGAATATCTTCAACATTCCAGATATTAGCAAGAAACTCATCCATGCTCATACCCCCAAAATTCTTCCCACTTTTGCACTTGATTTCATCAAGTGTCAGCGACAAAACAGAGTCGCGTTTATTCAGTGAACACAAGAAATTGTCTCTTGAATCTGATGATGCCTGTATTCCTGCTTCTGATTCTGATATCATTAGCCCAAACCCAGAATTCTCCATTCCTCCAACATCAAGCAAACTCTCGTGTTTGAACAGCTACAAATACACTGTAAAAGAGCGAGAAACAGGGGAAAAGAAAAAAAAAACAGAGCACCATAATTTAACAAAAGAAATTGCAGATGATTCGGCCCTCAATCAAATCAAATTCAATCACTTACCGCAATGTTCGTCGCCGTTCAGAGATTCACACAGAAACAGAGACCCAATTCAGAAGCTGCATGCAAGCATTTCAAATCATTACCCAAAAATGATGACAGAAAATTGTGGGAAAACAGAAACCCATTTGGGAAATGATGTTACCTTTGAGAAGAAAGAGCAAAAAGCGATCCAGAATCTGAAAAAAATGGTGAATGGGAGGAAGAAGAAAGCAGGAGCGGAGTAAACAAAGAGAGATGCATGATGATGATGTTTATATATGCAGAGGGGAGAGGGATTTGGTTATAATTTTAATGAACCAACAACGTCTTTCTTTTCCTTCCATTAAAGCAGTTTCGAGATGCAGCGGTGGGGAGTGACAAACAAGGCTCACAGACTTGGAAACTAACCGCCGTTTCCCACTTCATAAATAATAATAATAATAATAAACCTCCAAATTTAATTATATAATAATTTCAAAACCTTATTTTATAATCGTGCTTAGGTTAATTTTAATGTGTATGAATTTGGTTTTTTTTTTTTTAATTTTTTTGCTCCATCATAATATGGTTTAGTTAATACATTTAAGGAGATAATTTAGATTAAGCCATTCAATAAATTTTTAAAACAAATTGAGAATCACTCAAATATGAAAACTAACTTAAATATTTAATACGATAAGACTTATCTGAATTTAAAAATCGAAAACTTTTATAATAGTCAACAGATTGCATACCTTTTAATAATTAACGAATACGAGTTTAAAATAATTAAAAAAAAATTATCGGATGAATATCACAATTTTTATAATATATTATCAATTAACTTATCTTTAATTTAGTATTTGGAGGTGAAAAGTGTTAGACGAACGCGACTCTCCACAATGGTATGATATTGTCCACTTTGAGCATAAGCCCTCATGGGTTTGATTTGAACTTCTCAAAAGACCTCACAATCCTTCCTAACCGATGTGTAACTTTCATTATTGAGTTAAATTATAATAATTTTTTTTATTATTATTTTATAAAAAGAAATTATTATTTTTGACACGTTTAATCCGGCATGCAACTTTTTTACATAGCTGATGTAAATTGTTTTGGAAATACGAGGAAAACAAGGACAGAGGCAGTTAGCATCCTTAAATATGAGCCGTTGGATTTGACTGCAATTGATGATCCTCAGGCTTTGCACACGCACATGATTGGCAGGTGAGGTAGGAGTCCGTAATCTGCTACTTCCAAAACCACACGTAACTGATGAATCTGACCAATTACATTCTTAAGATCCGGTAATTGACAGTTGACTTCGATTCCTATTACAATAAGTGTACTTTAGAATGCTTTGTATTTTCTCTTTCATTCAAAGACTAAGGTGTGCGCCAAATCATGAGTTAGTTATGTCAGAACGACACATTTAGACGCATTTTAAAACTGTTAGACTGACGACAATAGATAATAGACAAAGACGAACAATATTTGCTAGCGAGTTGGACTTGAGCTGTTACAAATGGTATCAAAGTTAAACACCAAGCGATGTGTCAGCGAGAATGTTGGGCCCATAATGAGAATGAATTGTGAGATTCCACATCGATTGGAGAGTGGAACGAAAAACTCCTTATAAGAGTATAGAAACCTCTCCCTAGTAGTACGTTTTAAAACCGTGAGGCTGAATACGTAACGAATCAAAACAAACAATATCTAATATCAGTTGAGATGTTTCGAACATTAGTATTCTTGTATTCACACAAACAAGCATGGCTAAGAATAATAATGATTAGACAAGAATGTCTTGTTTTCTTCCCCCAAACTAAAACAGCAAACCAATGAATTGACTTGTGTTCCTGTGTAAACTAAATTCCTGGAGACTTGTCTGGTTCCTGCAGAAGCAGGATGTTGTTGAACCTTAAATTCAATGATATATGTTTCTGTGTCTCTTAAAGAATCAGCTACTCAGGTTAAATTCTAAGACACAGATTTTGGTCTGTAACAAACTGGTTCTTCTCCAACTAGAACTGCTCTTAAAATGGTGTCAAACAAGCCTTTGTAATGAATAATCAAATGCCCACCATCAGGGACTTCATGGTACTGAATCCATGGAAGCTGCCCTGAAACATATCTTTGGAGTTGGACTGGCACAACTTTGTCCTCATAACCTTGCCATATATGAACCGAGCTTTCGTTTTCACCGTACGGGTTACTTAGTTTAAGCGGATCAAATTCCCATTCACCAAATGCAATCATGAAATCACTTCGAAGGGTGTCGAAAACGCGTTGCTCCTTTAAACTCCTCTGCAAGCAGAACAACAAACTTAACTCCGATGCAGATCAACACATATAGCGGGCGAAAAAGAGAGAATATTTACCTTGGATAGCATTGGGAAGCCTGGAATCGTCTTCAAGATGTCGATGTCTCGTTCGTTGAAGAATATCGGATTCTTTTCGAGTACAGAAGTTGAAGGAATCCAATTCTGAGTCACCCACCAGTGTAGCAGCCCAGGGACATAGGTTGAAAGCCACAAGCCTAAGCTTAAGAACTTTCTCCTGTAATCCTCTTTTATTAGGCTATATGGAAGTGAAGGCCACTGATAGTTCACCAAAGGGACTAAAAGAGCTGTGCCTGCTAACCTACATTCAGTTACTTTTGGTGAAAGGAAGCAATACATAGCAACTGAAAACAGCTCAAAGACAGCAAATGGACCAAAAATCTTGCCTGTGTGGTATGTGTTTGAGACAACTCCACGCCGAATACGACCCCATCGACACGCCGATCATATAAAATCTGGATCCAATCTGCAATTGATCAGCCAGTTCTTGAATGTCATAAGCTTCATTCTCAACTGAGCTATTGGGGTTTGGATCACTTTCACCATATCCAGGCCGATCATAGAGCAAAAAGTAAATCCCCAACTCAACAATCAGATCCTAAAACCATCAAAGTTCATCAATTACAAGGTTTCTTTTAGCTAACACAAACATCAGAGACTATAAAACCTAATTTTGAAGCACACCCAGATAAGAAAACATGAAGAACAAGGGAAGAGATTGAAAAACAAAGCAAGTCTTGTGTGTGTGTACTTGAGATGCCAAGATAGTCATGTCTTTGGAGCTTCCAAAGCCATGGCAGACAATGATTCTGAATTTAGATTCGTCCTTAGAAACGCCCTTCTCTCTGTAAGCAAGGTACCTTCCATCACTGAGTTTGATTCTGTGAGAAGAAACAGGAAGATCCTGAGAAGAAGAAGAGCCATTAATTTGAGGGGGAGGGAGCTGCTTGGCCTGATAAAACATCCCCAAAAAACCAATCAGCAACACAACAGCAAATCTCGAGACCATTCCTGGGAAAACCACAGATCTGACCAACATAAACCCCAGAATCCACAAACCCCACTTCAAAAATTACACAAAAAAACAAGAGAAATGGAAGATTTAGAATCACCTGATCGAAGAAAATGGAGGTGAGATGGACAAAGGGGGTTGAACGATTGAGGCGATGCTGAGTTTTTTGGGGGTTTTACTTTGGTTTGACCTCTGAGGCGGCTCGTATTTTGGGTGTTTGTTTTAAATATATTCTGTAAATGTACTTTGTCGCCCATTGGGCAGCGGCTAATGGGCCGTTATTTCGAGTCACAACCGATGTTTTGGCGTTTTAATTTGTGTCCGTCTTCTTCTTCCATGTCTTTGTTGCTGTATTTTGCAATAAAAGCTTGGAATCCGAATCAAAATGGCATCTTTTTTTCATATTCCCCTTCAATTTTTGTTCCTCAAATGACAAAACCTTAGAAGACATGGGATGATGTCATTTCAATGAAATTATAAGACAAATGGATAACATCTAACAATAAATAATTCAAAATTTCGATGCAAGGTTTATTGGAATTAGAGGTAGAGAAACATGTATTGCGAACTTGCACGTGTGCGAGGCTGCTGTAGTGCTTCCTCCGAGTTGATATCGAGCTAACTCTGAAAAAGTCTTGTACCTCTTGTTTTATTGGAAATTATTGGGGTTTTAATTTATACCAAACATTGCAACATTAACTTCTCTAATAACGAGTGCAACTCGACTAGCCCTACCGTTAAGCCTTAGATAGGCTCATATTCTATGCGTCAAGGGCGATCAAACATGACCATAGACACTTGCCTTGGTCGAATGACACGATCTCTTATAATTTTTAATTTAGCATTTATTTATTTAAAAGTTGCTTTTTTTGTATTGTTTTTATTTATTCAAACTTTTTATAATTTAAGAAACGAATTTGAGATTAACTTAATCCAACAAAATAAAACTTTTAAAATTACTAAATATAAATTAAATTCATTGGATTAAAAAATAAATGTTATAAATCACTAAATATTTAAATTCTTTAAAATAAAAAAGTTGCATTAATATTTGCATCAATAATTATTTTCAAACCACGTCATGGTTTGCCTCATTAAGAATATTCTATACTCTTAATCGGATTATTCTGTTTTCTTGTTTTAAACAAAAAAGTGATTGTCTTTATAATTATATATATATATGTTTAAATAATATATTTTAATTGTACATTTTTATTGGGCCGCTATTTTTCTACTTTTGGGCCTCCAACTGGTGTTTCAGAGTTCCTTCTATTGGGCTGGGCCGAGCTGCCCGTCGAAGGACCAAATGAAGATTTTAATATATCATTGAACCACCCTGTCTATTATTTCCCCTAAGAGTATATGCTTCTATGCTTGCCTATTGAACCCCGTACATAAAATAATAATTAATAAATCATAGCATTAAATATTTTTAATATATACTCGCCCAATGTCTCTTCCCATAAAGATGGGGTTTCTTTCGTTAAGATGTGCCACTGAGGATGTTAGACTTTCTTAAAGAGGTGGATTGTGAGATCTCACGTTTAGTGAGAGAAGGAACGAAACATTTCTAAAGGGTAGAAACCTCATCTGAAAAGAGAGACAATATTTGGTAGAGATTGGATAGAGCGGTTAGCATATTAAAATGTTAGGAAAATAATATTGTATATATTTTAAAGAAGATTTGGACACTGATTGTGGTTATGCTTGATCCTACCAAATATGGCAAAACCCACTCTCTAAAATTACCAACTTTGGAAATGGAAAAGAATCAAATTTGGCCTCCAAATGCAGCATTTGATTATATTAATTAGTTGATTTAAGCTTGAAGGAGAAGCTGCTTAGTCCTCCTAATCCACAATTCCCTTCATTAAACAATACTTATTATCTCCCAATCCCATCTTTCTCTCTCCTTTTTTTTTATGTTCAAAAGACAGGTTTGAGAGCAAGACACTTCAACAAATAAGATTTCATGTCCTATAATTTGTTGCCAATTGTCATTGCTTCAATTGTTCACAAAAAGATGATAAACTTTTCTTTTCCCCAATTCTCTTCTCAACAATATTATAAATACTCCCTCACTTCACATACCTAACCAAAAAACCATACTCAAATAACTAACTCTCTCTCTCTCTCTTGTTTACACGGCCATGGCAAAGATGTCGGATCCTCTTGTGGTCGGAAGAGTGGTCGGAGACATCATCGACGCCTTCTCCCCAACGGTGAAGATGACTGTCACTTACCATTCAAACAAGAAGGTGTCCAATGGGCATGAGCTGCTTCCAAATTTTATAACCCTAAAACCTAAGGTTGAGGTTCTTGGAGGCGACCTTAGATCCTTCTTCACATTGGTATGATCATATTCAACGATACCCATCTTCTCATTTCGTTTTATATATTTATAATTAAGTCCACCGCGGGCAGATATTGTCTTCTTAAAAATTTAAAACGCATTTTCCCAATGATTTTCAACTAACTTTGCAGGTGATGACCGATCCAGATGTTCCGGGTCCGAGTGATCCTTACTTGAGAGAGCATCTCCATTGGTATCATCTCCTTTCATTAAGCTCCCATGATTGAGATTACTCAAAAAAAAAAAAAAAAAAAAAAAAAAAAAAAAAAAAAAAAAAAAAAAAAAAAAAAAAAAAAAAAAAAAAAAAAAAAAAAAAAAAAAAAAAAAAAACATGTTTTTATTAAGGATATGATTTTGATTTATTTCAGGATAGTAACAGACATCCCAGGAACGACAGATTCCAGTTTTGGTAAGTCTTATGGTCGTAATGGATTTGTTTCATGTATTTGTGGTATAATTAATTACATGATATTGTGGTTAAAACAGGAAAAGAAGTAGTGAAATATGAAGTTCCAAGTCCAAACGTAGGGATCCATAGATTCGTGTTCCTTCTATTCAAGCAAACACGAAGGCAGACAGTGAAGCCACCAGCTGCTTCAGCTTCAAGAGATGGGTTCAATGCAAGAAGATTTGCAGAAGAGAATGGTCTTGGCCTTCCTGTGGCTGCAGTCTATTTCAATGCTCAAAGGGCTACGGCCGCCAGAAGAAGATAAATAAATAAATAAATAAATAACCCAAAATAAGATATTTATTATATTGAATTTGCATGCAGTGTTTAGCTGTCCTTGTTTTATGTTTGGTTTTATGTTTGGTTTGTTAACGTTTAGATTGGTGGTGAAATTTGCTGAATGAATCACGTACATGGAAAGAACACAAACCAAAATTGTATTCGATATTTTTCTTTTTAAGTATTCGAAAGTTTTCCGTCTTCGATTGATATTTTAACATAACGATCATAAACAAACGAACATGGTGGTAGAAATCCAATAACAAAAACGGGATTTCAAGGATCATCGTCAAAGTCAATCAATATACATAATTCCAATAAAGGAAAAAAATAAATCGATGATTAACCTAGATTAAGGGTTGGAGCTTCCTGAGTCATTTGCCTGAAACCAACTGAAAAATAGATGCCCGTTTTACTTTTGTTCGAAGTAGGTGTTTCCCATTGATTGGGTTGGGGAAGGAAGTGAGAATTTCCCTTGCAAGGGATTCAATCCAACCACGTGTTTTCGAAGACTCTGTAGTGATATGCATCAATAAGACCACTAAAAACCTTTGTGGCATTAGTGGTACTCGCTTTCATAACTTTATTTTTTTGTTTCATTCACTTATATATTCATGATCTATTCTATTAGTCATATCTTCAACGCGTCTAAATGATAAAAGGTGACATTATTGAACTGTGAGATAGATTTATGAAAATGATGGGTAAGAGTCAGCTTTTGCTCACAATAGTATGAACATTTGACTGGGCAAACAGGGAAAAAAACTTGAGAAAAAACAGGTCTTTTACAAATTGTGGGAACCAATATCCTAAGTTGATACTATCATTAACTATGTTTTCAAAGGAAGATGCTGTGTTTCATTTCCTTTTGGCCATAGCCTACCTAAAGCTATGCTTATCTCTTACCAATCATATAGTTAACAAATGACATGATATGACATCGACACGACACTATACTTTCAAGTGACATTTTTTACAAAATTCAAATTCACTCGAACTTATCATGGGAGAAAAAACAGGAAAATAATAATAATAATAAAGTGTCAGCTTTAGAAAAAACAGGAAAATAATAATAATAATAATAATAATAATGTGTCAGCTTTTAACACTAGTTGTAGCCACCAGCTTACAATGGATTCAAACCCGAGAGTACCTCAGTAAATTAACTTAGACAGACGGTGAATAACATCGTACCAATTAGATCCTTTAAAATTGTTACTTGAAATTAATAATATCAATTATTTAAACATAATTCAATTGATTATTAAACGAGATTAGGAATAAACACGACTCAAATGATTGGAAGAGTCGAAGGGCTTGAGTCGTTAGATGAAAAAGGCTACATATCTATAACTCATCCCTATTGGTATAGATTCCCTTGAATTCTTTATAATAATTGAAGGGTATGGTTGTTAGGTCGGTGGTGATTAATTACATAATTAAAATGGATTAGAGAAAGAGTGCATTAGATTCTATACTCCTAACCCCACGAGGACACAAATCATTGTAGCAACCAAACAATCAACATATACATATATATATATATATATATATATATATATTCTTCTTCTCAATAAATAAGCTTATAATGTCAGCAACCCTAAACTAGCTAGCCCCAGAGATTCCTTTTCTTTATTTATATATGTGCTAAATTCACGAATTACTATTTATTTACTGTTTTCTTTTTTAAATTAATTTACAACTTACTGTGGGGGTAAAACTGTAAGGGTAAAAGGAAGAAGGATAATTCGACACAGAAGCTCTATTAGGATAATGACTGATTGATGATGTTTCTAAATACTTTCCCGAGGAGAAGCCACCTCAGCACTCCTGCTTGTTTGCTGTCGGTTTCTCATTTGTCCACGCTGTCTTACGTGTCATTTACTGTCTCCTCCACCTGTCATCTTATCTAACCAAACTTTCTATTTTTAGTTGGATTATGTCGTTGTTTTAATTATTTTAAAAATTCTATTTACCTAAAATAATAGTCCATTAATAATTTAAATCTCACATAAATTTCAAATATTTTATTAGTAAATTTAAAAAATTACATAAAATAAAAAATATTTGATTTATACAATTTAGATGATCGTAAACGGAGGGGAAATTAGTTGGGCTTGGGCCCATGTCGCTTGCCCATTACGTTTTCCCGTGGGAGTATTAACCCGAATCCAACGGTTGGATGGAAAGATTGGAAAGACTTAATTTGAATGAAAGATCGGAACCGTTGAAATTAATTATCGAAAATTCTAATTAACACATTTACTAATTATATTCATATTATTTTTCCAGGAGGAAATCCAAATATTTCTTTTTAAAAATTCGTTATTTCGAACGATTATAGAGTCCAAATTCCTCAAATATTTTATTCATATACAAATTAATTTTTTTTTTAAACTTGATAGAAAAATCAATTAAAGTTAATAAATAAATAAAATCAAACACAATCCCTCACCGATCGAGAAAACTAGAGTTGAATCATATGCCCTTCATAATACAGTTCTTCATCAACACGAGACAAAAAAGTTAAAAGAATTATGCCTAAAATTGTAGAGATATGCAGAGGTTCTATGTTGTTAACGATATAAGAACAAAATACGACATAGCAAATAATTTAGATTTCATTAAAACTAGAAGGAGAAAAGATGAACATGTAAAGGATATAAATCTTAGTCCTTTGGACGAGAGGACCATATGGAGCTTAGCGCTCGTAATCTAGTGTAATATTCACTAATAACTATAAAATATCTGGCTGCTTGTCGGACGGTGAACATCCTATGTAATTGGTGAAGCGTTTGTTGTCTTAAAATATCCGCCTAAACCAACCCAAATTTTTGTTAGTGTGAACAAAATTGAATCATATAAAATAATAATAAAGTAATTACCTGATGGAGAAAGCCTTGGAGATGAGAGATCTTGTCCATGGCCAAAACCATGTGGTTGATGCCGTCGATGACCGGACCGCCGGCTACGGTGTCCGTCAAAGACTGATGGAGCTGATCAAGACCTTGAGATAAAGCATCTTCAGCCTGCTGTGACGAATGCTGTAGCTTGTAAATTTCCACCACTTGCTGTTCTGTGATTGGGTCCAATTGTGACAGCAAAATCTGTTCATCAATCAACAACCTCTTAGTTAAACTCAACAATTTTCAATATATATAAATATATATTTAATAAGAAAAATGCAAACCTTGATGAGATCGGAGGGCCGGAATCCACCAATCCAAAGGAAGCAACGCTCGGCCGGAGACATCCAGATGCCGGCGATGAGGTGGAAGATGTCGGACTTAGCAGCCTCTCCTTTCAGCCGGAAAATTTGGTCGTAATGGCAAATGCATGCGTCTACCTTCACTCTCAGCTCCACGTCCGGTAGGCGTGCCTCCAATCCCCCGCGCAGCTCCGCCGTGTGCCGGTGGTCCTCTTCCAGCCACCTTGCATATTCCATGTCAAACATTGCACCTCCTACCATAACCATTTTCCAAAAAAATTACCATTTGATCATCTATTTACTTTCATGCATAAATAACTTCTTTGAAGCTTACCTGGGCTGATAATGCCGCCGCCACCACCGCAGGCACCAAGAAACAAACCCTACCAAGAAATGGAAACACACAGTAATTTTTTTAAAATTTATAAATACATATATTCCCTATATATATTGCAGTAAAAAAGTTCACATTTTTTAACCTGAGCTCGTGCCCGTTGAAGGTCTTGTTCAAGCTGCGTGAGCTTGACTCTACTGCTCTCAAGTTGCTGTACGTAAGCCTATAATTACGTTTTAACCCAAATAAATCAATTTTAAAATCTCATTAATTACCACTTTTCTCATATACACAATTAGAATATTGTCTTATTATTGTCATTGTCAGATTCCACGTTAGTCAATGAGGATAACTAAGTATTTCTTACAAGAGTGTGGAAACCTCAGCTAGTAGACAAATTTTAAAACCGTGAGACTGATGGTGATAAATAACGGCCAATATAGACAATATCTGCTAGTGGTAGGCTTAATCTGTTACAAATGTTGTAAAAAACAAGCATGTGTTGAGCTAAATTGTGAGATCTATGTTAGTTAGAAAGGGGAACTAATAGATAACAAGTCAAAGTGAACTATATTTAGACCATTAAATGGTCAAAACACAAAATTTGTACCTTTTTCCTTAGGCGACTCTTCCTGGCAGCCTCTCTATTCTGAGCCAAACGTCTCAATGTCTAAACATGAACACAAATAATCAAGACAAAAAAAAAAAAAAAAAAAAAAAAAAAAAAAAAAAAAAAAAAAAAAAAAAAAAAAAAAAAAAAAAACATAAAAAATAGACAAAGATATAAAAAGAAACAAGACAGCAACAATGACAACAACAGTCGTTTGTTTATAATAATAAAAAGACCTTAGCATCAAGTTGCTTCTGTGATGTTGAAATCGAACCACATCCTTTTCTCTGCATTATTGATGAGATTTAAATTATGAACAAAACTCTCTAAAATGATCGCTGAATTCAAGCACAATAACATATCATTAAATTAACTCTGTATTATATGCCAAAGCCGGCCGCCTAGATAGCTAGCTATTAGCTTTATCTGATCAAAACTTGGCTTCTGGTTTGAATAACTGGAAAAGAAAAAGGGCTTTAAAGATCTTCATTTTATAACCAGACAAAAACAAAAACTGTGAAGATTCATGTAATTGACCTTTAATGGAGCTGCAAGTTTCTACTTCTACCTCTTCATGTCAGACATTCATCAGATAAAGAGCCTCAAATCTTCAAACTCTGCTTTTTATACGATTATCTAAGAGTTTTTGGGATCTGTGCCTAATACAATTTTAAAAAATTAACCCAACCCTTTTGTAAAAACATCATTTTTAGTGTAAAATCGTCCTTTACCAACTTTAAGAGCTTTAAGAGCTGAAAAGTAAAAAAAAAAAAACGAAACCAACTCAACTTAATTTAAGAGATGATCTTGGATTTATAAATAGAATTTTTTTTGAAAGCAAAGTCATTAGAGTTTAAGCTTAAAGCATAGTCTCATAATTCCTAGCAAACCTTTTGTCGAAGGGAGTGATGTTGAGCTGAAACATCCGTGAGTATCATTTCAGGGTGAATCTGCTTCTGAATAAAGCCCTGATGAGCTGCAGAAGAAGTAGATGGACAGGGCTTTTTAGTCATGGGAGATTCATCAGTGCTCTCTTCTCTTCGTCTCGAACTCATTCCCTGTTGCATTTTGAAAACATTATAAAGAAGAAGGAGAAGAAGAAGAAGAAGGAGAAGAAGAAGAAGAAGAAGAGGAATAAGTACTGTGGGAGTTTGTTGGAATTTGATTGGCCAAGAAGGGAACATTTCCAGAGTAGCAGCAGTGGCAGCAGCAGGCCTGCCTGAGAAAAAGGCTGCAAGAATCATAAAAGCAAATCTCAGAGAATCACCAAACTTCAGGATTCTTCAAAGTATCTTCAAAATAAAATCATAATCAAATCATCAATACCCCACAAACCCTACAATGTAACTGACAGAAATTAAAAACAATGCATACTTTGTTTGGATTGGTGATGATCGAGTTTGTTCTTAGCTTCGTGTTCTTGTAACACGATTGCTTGTTCCAATTCTCCAATATCAAAAGCTTCGCAAGTGGAGGAGGGATTGTTGTAGTTGATTGCATAAAGATGTGAATTGTGAGGAAGGTGATGGGTTGAAGAAGGTGCGGTTTCTTCCACTCTGTTGCTCGTCATTCATGAATTCCTTGTTCAAACCATCGTCTTCTTTGTTCTTCTTCTGCAAATCAAATCAACCAAAAAGTGGAAGAAGTTATTGCAAATGGGTTTTGATTCTTAGTTGGATTTATGAGTACCCATGTGAGAAAATTGCATTACAAAAATGGAAAAGAACAGAACCTGTCCTTGGAGACTGCAACTTTTAATGTTTGATGGGGTCTCTCGCCTTCGCTATGAAGAAAACCAGCTCATTCCATGGCTGCTCGTCGTTTACCTTTTATATTCACGATTCAACAACATGATCTGAAGGGGTGAAGACTGTCTCTCTAGTATATGCGTTTTAAAATGGTGAGGTTGCTGACGATACATAACGAGTTAGTAATGGACTTGGGCTGTTACAAAGGGTATCAAAGCACGTCGCAGAGCGGTGTGATGGAGAAGATGTTGGGTTGGCAATACGCAACGAGGCAAAGTGGATACTATTTAGTAGTATGGGTTTGAGCTGTTACAAATAGTATCATAGCCAGTTAACGGGCGGTGTGCTAACGAAGACGTTGGGTCTTCAAGAAGAGGAGTATGAGATCTCATATTCGTTGGAGAGAGAAATGAAACATTCTTTATAAGAGTGTGAAAACTACTCCCTTATATACGCGTTTTAAAATCGTGAGACTGATGGCAATACGTAACGAGTTGAAGTGGATAATATATGCTACGAACTTTGTTCCGTCCGAGCGTTTTTTGGGAGAAGAGCTAAGTCCGAAAAAAGAAGATAAAGGGAATGGATAGACATTGAGGAATATGGGTGAGACAAGGTTGGTTTGAGCAAATAAAAAGGCTATGTTACAAAGGGAAAAAGCTCCAACAAAGTGGCTCTTTAATTCCTCTCTTACTTGGATGCTTGTCATCTCTCTAGTCTTATTCACTTTGCTTCTTCTTTGAGGAATTTGTTACAAAAAGGGGGAAATCTAAATAAATAAAAATAATTAAAAATAACCCATCAATGCATTTTTTAATGTAAAAATATAACATTATTGAATATATGAAATAATAAATAGGAGCTAATGAAATAGACAATAATATTTGAATATTTTAGAATGTGTATCTACTACTTTTGGATGCTATATGAAACTATAATATAATTTTAATTGAGAATACCAATGATTGATATTAAAAAAAAGTATGGATTATGTAATTATTTATGAATGTGAGTATATTTTAAAATATATTTGGGTTGTTATCAAACTTTATATTATACACATATTCCCCTTATCTTATATTATGCATACTTCCGTGGAGATAAAATCTAAATAAATAAAAAATTAAATTCCCATAATTATTTATAAATAATTTGTGGTCATTCAGCATAAATGAATATATATAAAAAAAATTCATATTCCTTCTTATATATATATATAAAAAAAAAGAAATAAAGAAAAAATCTCCACCTCACAAGCTTTTCATCTCCCAACCTTATAATCACCACACAAAAATATAATAAATAAAAATAAAAATAAAAATAAAACCCCATATTCCAACGTAGACAATCCATTAGCCATTGAATATCTTTAAAAAAATAAAAAAATAAAGAAAATAAACGCTTATTTGACGTGTACACTAAACCCCCACACAACCCTTCTATTTAATTATTATCTCTCAGTTCCCAGAATTCAATAACCCAATCGCCATGGTTCCTCCAAATCGCTCTGATTCCGGTGATCGTCTTTCCACCGGAATAAATAGTACCCCTGCAGCAGCCCCCGCTGTTGGATCGCCCGGAGATTTTGGCGGCGGAGCTGAGAAATCGAAGGGTTGTTGTGGGTTTCGAGAAAGGCTGAAGAGGCACCGTGAGGAGGTGGCCGGAAAAGTAACGGTACCGGAGAAATGGGGAAAAGAGGAACTGCTAAAGGATTGGATCGATTACTCGGCGTTCGACAGAATCTTGGCCGCTGGCAGAATTGCGTCGGCAAGGGCGTCGCTTGTGGCGGAGGGACGGAGGGTAGAAAGTAGGTGTTGAGATGGAAGAAATCAATTTAAATTACTTTTTAATTAAGCATGATTAACGGCTTAATCGATTAATGTTATTTATAGAGAGAGATCAATACACGTCTTAATAGATTTCATTTGTATTTGTAAGACTAAAGAGCCCTACGGATTAATATGCAATAAAATCTTTAAATTCTCTTTGTTTTATTTGACGATATGAAGCAACATGTCGTTTTTTGACATCGATCGTCGTCCGTCTACAAAACTATGAACGAAAAAAGCCCATCATGGATCCAAAACTAAGGCCCATTAGACAGCAAATTGGGCCAACAAACGGGCCCAATCTCAACTAGGTAATGAAAATAGAGGCCTAGGCCCATGACTGTATTCGCGAAATTATCACGAGCCCATCTTTTTGGATCGTCTCGTTTCGGTCTTCCATTATATACCTATTTATCAGTTGGCCGCGAAAAACCCTAGCTTCGTTTCTTCTTACCAGGTACTCATCCACGTTCTTTCGAATTGAAGTTTGTTTTTGTTGAAACTGCCACTGAATCCTCTACCAGTGAAGATGTTTTTTGCGTTGTTTCTTCTTCCTGATATTAAGTTATTGTTTCTCTCGATTTGGTTCGTCTAGCTCGCTCAATTAAATCGTATTTTGATTTGGTTTTCTTCTCAGCCAGTTTGTAGCTGCTGCTGAGGGAAGACAAGGCTCCGAAAATGAGGTATGTTGGGATGTTTTTTGCTATTTAGTTTTATTTATCTTCTAGAATGTATTTTTCAGAACGAACTTGATTAGTGCTACTGTCGTTTTTATTAGCTTTTCCGGATTCATAAATTTCGTTCGTGTTCTTTATCCCTCCAAGTAGTCTAAATGAATTTGACTGAGGTAGGATTGGAAGTATGAAGTTACAATGCTGGAATTTACTTCTGGCTTTAGTGTAGTTTGTTTATGTTTCTGCCAACACGGCAGTCACATTACTTGTTTGTGCGTTTATATCAAAATAAAATCGAGTTTATTGGAAACTTTGGTTGCTCGTATCTTTTTGTTTTATGGTTATCTTGCCATTTACTGAATGTAGTTTTGTTGGTCTGTATCTGCAGCAAGCTTCAGAGCGAAGCCTTGAGAGAAGCCATTTCCTCTATCTTCGGTGATAGCAGTGAAAAGAAACGCAACTTTACTGAGACCATTGAACTTCAAATTGGACTGAAGAACTATGATCCACAGAAGGACAAGCGTTTCAGTGGATCAGTGAAGTTGCCCCATATCCCTCGCCCTAAAATGAAGATTTGCATGCTTGGAGATGCTTTGCACGTTGAAGAGGTAAATTTTAACATCTTCACTGTCATGTCCAGTAACTGTTATGTATGTTGCTTGCTTGCTTTAGTTCTGCTTTCAAACCTGCGTTTAACGATATTTATGAGAAATTTCGACAGTAATAATAGTTTGTAGTGTTTTTCATTCATATTTGATGAATGATAAGTATTATGCCGAATACTAAATGCTTACAAGCTGCAATTAGTGGATGTGTACATAACTGGGAAAATAATGTACTTTTTTTGACATTTCATGTATGGTAAATTGAATTTGAATACTGATACACTTCATTTCTGGTTGTTTGCTTACATGTGTATGCTTTTTCTTATTATAGGCAGAGAAGATTGGTTTAGATTATATGGACGTGGAAGGTCTGAAGAAGCTAAACAAGAACAAGAAATTGGTGAAGAAACTTGCCAAAAAATATCACGCCTTTTTAGCTTCTGAAGCTGTTATCAAGCAAATTCCCCGTCTTCTGGGCCCTGGGCTCAACAAGGCAGGCAAGTGTGTTCATGACTTTAGTCATTCGGAAGTTACCCTTTATCTGGTGAACTCTAGTTTGAAAGCTTTTCTTAGCTTTCTCGGATGTTGGTACTCTACATTCTACTTGCTGTCCAGGCCCATTATTGGCTGCATGCTTGAAAATTGAATTTCAATCTTTTCTTTGGAAGAAGCAGTCTGTTTTGTTTGTAGTTCGTACTAATATGGATATCTACATTGCCATTACAGGAAAGTTCCCTACCCTGGTTACTCACCAAGAATCCCTCGAGTCTAAAGTAAATGAGACGAAGGCAATGGTTAAGTTCCAATTGAAGAAGGTTCTTTGCATGGGTGTGGCCGTGGGCAATGTTGCCATGGAAGAGAAGCAAGTTTTTCAGAACGTTCAAATGAGTGTCAATTTCCTCGTTTCCTTGTTGAAAAAGAACTGGCAAAACGTAAGTCAACTTCTCCAGTAGCATACTCGACGCTCGTCTTATTGCATGACAACAATTATATTTGTTTGTAGAATATGCCTTGTCCTTTTATCTAACAATGAGATTTGGGTATTTTTTGTTCATCAGGTGAGATGCTTGTACCTGAAGAGTACTATGGGGAAGGCATATCGAGTCTTCTGAGGAATTTTCAAAACTTAGAACAGTACTGTTTGCTCTTAAATTGAAGAACCAGGTTGAGATGAAATTCTATGCTTATGATTGATGAAAAATTTTCCTGTTTGTTTTTTTTTTATTTTTTATTATTAAACCATTAGCTGCACAATCGTTATCACTTATGATGGGTGTAATGCTTTTTATTTTTTCCATCTTGTTTCACGATACATGTTTTGTAGATGTATTTTTTTTTTTTTTAAAAAGTATGATTCATATCTCATAATTCAAACAAAAACACCAAAATTAGCTTTAGCCCACTGACTTAAATGGTGGAAGCTTTATTTTGTATCCACTGATTATTTAATCTTACTTTAAAAACATGTATTGATGATCTATGGTTATATGAATAGATTGATCGATACTGATTTTAGTGTTTTGTCTTTTCATTGTCATCAAATATTGACCTTTTCTTATATAAAAATGATGAGAGTTTAGTTATAGGCTTAATTTTCAATTTCATAAAGTTATGAATAAAATAAATGACATATTTTGTATTTGAATTGAAGATGGAAGACAAATGCAAGCTCATAAAAAGGGTTTATTATATAAAATTATAAATTTCAATAATTAAATTTATATTTAGTTTTTTAATTATTAAAATATAATTTAGGGCGAGGTATAATATTTTATTTTTAAAATTGAACGAGAAATTAAGAATTTAAATTGAGTTCACACTTTAATAAAGTTTAATCTTCCAAAGTAAAATTAACCTTTAAATACTAAATTACAAGTTTTACAGCTGTCACTCCAAAATTTGAGATTCCAAATATTATTATTTTGCAACTTGTAAAACAATATAACCCAAAGGACAAAAAAAAGAAAAAAAAAAAAGAAAAAAAAAAAAAAAAAAAAAAAAAAAAAAAAAAAAAAAAAAAAAAGAAGGAAAGATAAAGATAAGATAAAAAAAAGGGGGAAACGATTTCATTATATAATATGAAAAACCTAATTAGAGTGGTGTGTTAAAAAGAAAAAAACGATTGAATCAATGAAAATATCGGGACGGAGCATGCTTTGTTATTGAAAGCGAGGGAGAATAGAAAGCGAGGGAGAATCGAAAGCGAGGGAGAATCTGCAGCGAAACAAACCCAAAAGAGAGTGAAGAAGGCGACCCCCAAACGTAAAGCCTAATTCCTTCCGTTTCTATTGCTTTGATTTTCGTTTTTCATTTCATTCCATTGAATGCATCTTTCGATTCCAAGATGAGCATTGTATTTCCAATTCCAAAGCTGAGTTCTTCTGTTTTAACATGTGCGGCTCCCTTTGTCTTTTCCAATCTCTGATTCTCTCTCCCGCACACTTCGCCTTTTTTTTTTTTTTTTTTTTTTTTTTTTTTTTTTTTCTTTTTTTTGCCTTTTCCACTTCTCAGCTTCTTCTCTGACTTCTCATTCAGGAGCTTTGACTGTTGCAACAACTTATCCCTTCGTTTTTCCTACTCTTAGCTCCATCACTTTTCTGGGTTCCTTCCAGCTAGGGTTTTGCCTGATTCATACCTTCAGGGTTTAGTTCTGGTCCTCATTCTACGGTTCTATGTTGAAAATTTTGTTTCTTACTCCAAGTGTTTGGATGTTTTTCTCTCTGTTGTTTCTGGTTGGGCATTCGGTATTTTCTTAGCTGTTTCATTTAACGAGACTAAAATTCTGTGCACCCTTTTGTTTCTGAAATTTGGGTTTTGTTAGGGTTCTCTGCTTTACGCAATTGTTTATTGATCAGTACTGAGTTGTTTTATTTTGTTGGAAAACTATGAATTGACAAGAAACAGCCTGAGGGGGGAGGGTTTGTTGCTGTGTTCGGACTTAGAGATGATTGCAGAGAAACCTAGTTGGGTTAGGCATGAGGGCACGCAAATTTTCTCGATTGATGTCCAACCTGGTGGACTGAGATTTGCTACTGGAGGAGGCGACCACAAGGTACTTTTTCTTATCATATTTTACTCCAGTTAGTGGCGAACAAGAATGTGGCTAATATGAAATGACTTCCATTTTTGTTTATAATGGTCGCCGAGAAAAATGTGCAACTTTTTTTCCAATTGACCGCAGAAGCGGTGGCGCACTATCACTATCCTTTTACTTTATAGTTGATGAGGATAGTCTAGATTGTATAACATGTAGGGATTTCTTTCATTTTGTTTCCTTTATTTGTTGTAATCTTACTTATGCCGCAAAAAACTATATTGCATGTTGAAGATGATAAAAATGGTCTCGTTAGTGCATGTTTCGTGTTTTTGAGGATAGTGGAATCAATGTATGTCGAAAATTTCACGTCTTTAAGCTCCCATTTGCTCTTAACGAAAGAGGGTGGGCTTTTGATCCCAAATCTTTCCCCCTTCTCCTGAACATTGGAATTTGTTTACTTCACATGACTAGTAGTGGTCTGAGCCCCCGGTCATCTCATTAGGTATCTCAATGCCGGATGAGGGGCATCCCCACAACTTGTCATTGACTTCTTGGGAACCTGGTCGGCTGAGCTAACTATTGAAACCTTTTTGGTGATGGAAACCCCTCTTCAGTCTAACTTTGAAATCTCATTTTGATTGGATTGTCAGTTGAATAGTCAGAGACTGCTTCCGAATAGTTGTTGTGAGAGTTTCCATATATACACGCATGTGCCTCAAGTTATGACTTACAGGAGTACAATTGTGTTCATGCATGGGTTAGCAATTATGGATTTATTATTTTTTATGTGGTGTTGGTTGTCGTGTGATTGCTGAACCAATGCAACAACTAGTTTTTCTGCTATTCATAAAATTTTCTAATTATATTTAATTATGTGACCATAACATCACTTACTACATCCTGTACCCCTGCAGGTTCGGATATGGAATGTGAAATCTGTTGGTAGGAGTTTAGAAGATGATGACTCAAATCAGAGGCTTCTTGCAACTCTGCGTGATCACTTTGGGTCAGTTAATTGTGTAAGATGGGCTAAGCATGGTCGTTATGTGGCATCAGGGTCTGATGATCAAACAATTCTTGTTCATGAAAAGAAACCTGGTTCAGGGACCACTGAATTTGGAAGTGGAGAGCCCCCAGATGTCGAGAACTGGAAAGTTGCTATGACTTTGAGGGGGCACACAGCTGATGTGGTAATGGTTTAGCTTGTTATTTTTTTTATGTGGAACTTCATGCATTTGATTAGATTTTATATATAAATATTGTTAAAAAAAAAGAAGAAAGAATCAATTTGGGTGAATCAAGCCTCTTAGGTCTCTTTTTTTAAAATATCAAACTGTTTATAATTTTCAGATTGCTCATTTATGTATTTAAGCATTATGCTGACTGATGTATGTGGTACTGATATTGATGGCATCTAACCCGGGAGTTATATTTCAATGCATGAAGTAGGTGGATCTTAACTGGTCGCCTGATGACTCGACATTAGCAAGTGGGAGTTTAGATAACACAGTTCACATATGGAATATGAGCAATGGTATTTGTACAGCCGTTTTGAGGGGTCACTCTAGCCTTGTTAAAGGAGTTGCCTGGGATCCCATAGGTTCTTTCATAGCCAGTCAATCGGATGACAAGACAGTTATTATATGGCGAACAAGTGACTGGAGCCTTGCTCACCGAACTGATGGACATTGGACAAAATCTGTATGTTTGTCTATTTTATGTCCGGATTTGATTTTTTTTTTTTTTTTATACTTATTTTTGATTTGACTATCTTTATGTTCTTGTGGCTTTTCTTTTCCAGCTTGGTTCTACATTTTTCCGGCGTCTAGGCTGGTCACCTTGTGGACATTTCATCACTACTACACATGGTTTTCAGAAGCCCAGACATTCTGCACCAGTCTTGGAGAGAGGGGAATGGTCTGCCACGTTTGATTTCTTAGGACACAATGCTCCTGTTATTGTTGTCAAATTTAATCATTCTATGTTTCGGAGGAATTTAACTAATGCTAACGAGATGAAGGCTGTTCCTGTTGGGTGGACAAATGGAGCTTCGAAAATTGGAGGCAAAGAATCCCCATCATACAATGTGATTGCAATTGGGAGTCAGGATCGCACTATAACTGTATGGACGACAGCAAGTCCTCGCCCACTTTTTGTTGCCAAACATTTCTTTACTCAAAGTGTTGTTGATTTATCTTGGTATGACTCTGGAAATATACCTATACTATGTAATTGCTTTCCAAATCTTGTTTTGGTGTTCATCTACTAGACCTTCATTTGTCACTACCCATAATTTTCAAATTTTCCTATTGGAGCAGGAGTCCTGATGGATATTCACTCTTTGCATGTTCCTTGGATGGGTCAGTAGCAACTTTCCATTTTGAGGTGAAAGAAATTGGACAGAGGTTACCTGACGTAGAACTTGATGAGATTAAGAGAAGTCGTTATGGTGATGTTAGAGGCCGGCAAGTGAATTTAGCTGAAACTCCTGCTCAGCTGATGCTTGAAGCAGCTTCATTAAGGCAAGTCTCAAGCAAGAAAGTTGTTTCAGAATCTCAACTAAACCAGACCCTGTCAAAATCTTCAATAGATGCAAGGGATGCCTCCAAGACTTTGGAGGCCCAAGTTGATGATTCAAAGAAGAGTGGGGGAGCTGGTGGGGATGGTTTGAATAAGGTTTCGTCAGCTTCCCAAAAGATTTCTAGTCCTGTGAAGCAAAGAGAATATAGACGACCTGATGGAAGAAAGAGAATTATTCCAGAAGCAGTTGGAGGACCTGTTCTGCAGGAAAATAAGTCTGGTGGGATTCAGAGTAGCAATGCACTTGATTTCCCATCTATGTCATCTGACCAAAAAAAGGATAATAATGGGGTAGCTGCCCCTGAATGTGTCAGGGAAAGTTCCATGAGGGGAATGCCTAGCAAACGCACTGATTTAAAGGAGCGTACAGGGGTCACTGCTCGAGCAACAATCACTGATAGTTTAGTCATTGAGAAGGTTCCACTCTCTGTAGTTAATGATGCAAATATCGTAATGGATCATTCTGGGAATTTGAAGACGTCGAATTCATTGGCTACTTGTAGTTCTGTACTTTCAATTAGGGTGTTTGATAAGAAAGAAGGGGAATATAATGAACCAATTTGCTTGGAAGCTCGACCAAAGGAGAATGCTGCCAATGACATTATTGGGGCTGGAAACACATCGATGTTGAAAGAAACAGTTATTTCTTGTACTAATGGATCAAGAAATCTGTGGTCTGATAGGGTCTCAGGGAAAGTCACTGTTTTGGCTGGAAATGCAAATTTCTGGGCAGTAGGGTGTGAAGATGGATGCCTACAGGTAGTTACTGGCTATTTAATATTTAGTTACATTTATTTTGGGGCACTAAGATTGAGTTGGAGAATGCTCTGGACGATATGCACGTGCAATGTATTATGACGGTACAGCTAGATTTTGCATTAATACAATGAACCTTGGTTATTATCTTTGAGACTAAAGATTTTACTATCTTGGCAATAGAGCAGATGCTTAATGAAGTTATTAGTTAATCTTAGTCGTATTACTCTAGGCTGCCAGAAGTAAATTCGGTTTAATATAATAATAAAATATTATGCCTTTATATAAGCTTCCCATTTGGTTACAGTTTTTTATTCTTGAGTAGGTTTATACCAAGTGTGGTAGACGTTCTATGCCAACCATGATGATAGGATCTGCTGCTACGTTTATCGATTGTGATGATTCCTGGAAATTGTTGCTGGTGACAAGGAAAGGTTCCTTGTACGTATGGGATCTCTTCAACCGCAGTTGTCTCCTTCATGACTCGCTGGCATCACTGATTCCTTTGAATCCTAACTCATCTACAAAAGATTCTGGTAACGTTCAACATTTGAATTATTATATCCTAGTGGGATGCTAATGTCAAAGTTTCTTTTGTCTTTTTGTTCTTTGTTTTTCTCGTGTTTTCCATTGCTTTCTATAGAAATCTGCCTTCTGATTTTAGGACTGAACCTTCCACTCTTTCAGGCACTATTAAAGTTATATCTGCCAAGCTGTCAAAATCTGGTTCTCCTCTAGTTGTTTTGGCCACTCGCCATGCTTTTCTCTTTGATACAAACCTTAAGTGTTGGCTGAGAGTAGCAGACGACTGTTTCCCTGCATCAAATTTTTCCAGCTCTTGGAACTTGGGGTCTATTCAGAGCGGAGAGCTTGCTGCACTGCAGGTTGATATCAGGAAATATTTAGCTAGAAAGCCAGGTTGGAGCAGGTTTGTTCTTTCCTTTCATCCGAAGTCTGAAGCTTTAAGAACTTGGGTTCTGGTTTGTTTTCAGGGATGGTTCATTTTCATTTTCATGACCATGATATTGATCTCAACATGTTTGATTCTTAATGTCACGTGATTGATGTGGAATGAAGATGGGGTTTTTCATGTCAGTGTGATAGGTTCCTAGTTAGTTTCCAGATCTTTTTACATAATTTTGAAGTCAATTTTAAGAGTTTAGTTTCTTCAATCTAGGGTCACCGATGATGGGATGCAGACACGTGCTCACCTAGAAACTCAGATGGCATCCTCACTAGCATTGAAGTCACCTAATGAGTATCGCCAATGGCTTCTATCATACATACGCTTTTTGGCAAGGTGATTTACATTTAACACATTTTTTATTTGCGTAAGCACATATTTTTATAGCTCATTTCTTATTGCAAATGTTGCTTGGTGCTTTTTTGCACTTAGTTTTAGGAGCACAAAGTTTTGAATTCATCAAAAGAGATGTGGATATTATAGCTAGATCTGAGATTGAGGTTGATACAGATACATAGTTGAACACCTTTTCTGTTCCAGAGATCAAAATTCTTGTGCATCAGAACAGATGCATGATGTCTTTGATTTGGGAGACACATTAGGCTTGTCCTCCTTTTTTCTTGTTGATGATGGGATTTATTAGTAGTTTTTCTTTTTGGTTTTGTTCCGTTAAATGATGTAATTTAATTTTCATTCAGAACATTTCAAAGCATTTTAGTTCACACATTTGTACTCGGTGTTCTTGGCTACTTGATTACAGAGAAGCAGATGAATCTCGGCTACGTGAGGTTTGTGAGAGTTTGCTAGGACCCCCAACTGGGATGGCTGGAGATGCATCCGCGGATTCAAAGAATCAAGCCTGGGATCCTTGTGTGCTTGTAAGACTTTGTTAAACTACCCTGCAAATGGCATTCATACATACATTATACCTAATAACAAAATACCTAATTTGTCATTTGCCTCCAATTCTTCTAACTTGTGCATATTTATTCTTCTTTTATTCAATCAATGATATCGTCCCTTTCTGCATTCATTTTTTTGTTAACTTTCTTTTGAAATTCTTCTGATTGGTTTGATTCATGACAAATGCTGTCTGTAGTGATAATGCCTTATGACTTGTCTATCTTTGATCAATTCTATTTGCACTTGTTTAGCTTCTCTGTGCTTAAATCTAAATCACCATGTGGTTGATCACTCAATCTTTTGGATTTTGTAACTAGTATCATATTTTTCCATAAACCCATTATTTGTCTAAAGTTTTTGAAGTAGATTGCACAATGTGGATATCCATATTACTCGCACCTCAAAACTCAAAACTATTTAATGTTGCAAACGGCTGCCTTCAGGTTTCTGGGCTATAAGAAGTTTGTTTTAATCACATTTTTACATTTACGCAGGGAATGAGAAAGCACAAACTTCTAAGAGAAGATATACTTCCTGCCATGGCATCAAATAGAAAAGTCCAACGACTGCTTAACGAATTCATGGATCTTCTTTCCGAGTATGAAAATGTTGAAAACAATGTTGAGCCAAAAGCTTCCCTCCCTGCAGCATCAAGCCCTCTGGAACCAGATCATGAGCAGTTTGCTTCACATCAAGCAGATAAAATGGAAACTGACCCTACAGTTATTCATCCAAAGGATTCCTCCAAGTTGGTAAATTATCAAACGAGTTTTGCTCCATCTGTTGATCTGGGCCAGCCAGTAAAGGATCCTGTTAACCTAGCTTCAGAAGCAAAAGACTGACATTCTTGTTGGCCCAACGGATCAAATCACATTCAAAACTGAACACTGCAACTGGCATTGACTAGGCTGCGTATGTATCACACCATGACATGTCCCTATATATATATATATATATCTATATATATGCATGAGAGAAGCTTTCCGTCTCCATTAATTGTCTGGGACATTCTTTCCATAGGACCACTTGTCTGAAGTAATTGTTCTGGTTAAGAGTTGATTCTTAGGAATGGTAGCTAGAAGTAAGATTTTTTTTTTCTTCCATTTAACTTTTTCTGCATTTGTACAATGGTAAAGAATAGCGTCCATTTAGATAAAACTCAGAGCTACTTCTATTACCATATATGAGTATGACGTAGATTTTCGAGTCTAAAGATATCCGTACTACAACAGTACAGCCAGGAGAACCTTCTATCATTAGATAGCCAAGGTCTCTGCAACTGATACAGATTTAGGGACAAATATTTGTATGATATTTGTGTTAAATGTAGATTGGAGGGGCTTGTACGTTCATATCAAAGTTTCTATCTATATATCAAGAACCGTGCTTCTAGAACCGTTTTTGACATCTTTGGTCAGCTAATAAAGCTTCCAGTCGAGATGCAATGGCATCGGCATTAACCTGTTTGTTTTCGGCTTCCATCTGAATGTTGCATAATTTGTAGTTTCCAGTTTCCATTATGTGCTTAAGCATGGACAGGGTGTAGCAGCAGGAAGGAATGTTGCTCTAAATGGAGGGTGGGAAGACACTTTAGATCATTATCATATGAAATCATTGTTGAGATACTCGAAATTTTGAAGTGTTTTAGTCAAAATAAGCCTGGTTTGATGGGAGATTTTGATATACGCTCTGCTTCTGTATCTGTGCAACTATTATTCAAAACTACCCAAACTTATTTTGACAAAGAATGAACGAAATGATATACGCTCTGCTTCTGAATCTTATGCCCCAAATTATCGTTCTTTCATTCGAAGTTTTATTTCTATAAATAAAATTTTTCAAAGTTGAGGTATATGATCACCAATGAAGGCAATAATAAATACAGAAGATCCAATGTAAAGACGGTTGTCAGTGCTGGTTATCCATCCATAGGCTTTCGCTTTCACGTCTCTCTAAAATTGCAGTCACGGTAAAATCTTGGTTTATTTAATTATTAATCATCAGGGTCTCCCAAACACATGAATTCTCTGGAAAATAGAAAATTAAGGGCTTGTTATTCAACGGTATAGCATGACTTATATACCCATGTCAACCAATATCAACATCCATAAATATAAATAGATATCTTTCAAATCTAAGTCCAAGAGAGTAGTTGATTTAAATGGATTAGAGATTAGGTGAGACAATTAGTGGAGACGTCATTCCATAATTTCTTTAAATGGTTAATTATGCAATAAAAAGAAAGTTAATTACTTGAATTATGTGCATTACTACGGTTCTTCCATTTTTCGTATATAATGCAAACTTCAAATTCTCATTCATATTCATTTATTCAATTTAAAGTTTATAATATATCTCTCGACTTTCAATGGACTTTTTTAAGAATAAGACCATTTTTGTTATCGGTGCCAAAGGATTTCTTGGAAAGAGTGTGTTATCTTTCTCTCGAACAATTTTAATTTTTTTTTCTAATGTGTTATTATGCTACATATATCATTTATATTATATACTTTGAGAGTGCAGTTATGGTGGAGAAAATATTGAGAGCTCATCCCAACGTGAAGAAACTTTATCTACTTTTACGAAATGTGGATCAAATCACGGCTTCAAAACGTTTTTATGATGAGGTATATGATTGTGTTTATACCCATATTTCAATTACCAAAACACTAACTTGCTAGTTTATGTAAATATCAAACATAGAGGTTTGAATCCTTCATCTGTTATTTCAGTAAAAAAATACAATTGATTATTTGATTCATAGGTTGTAGAGAAAGAATTGTTTAGAGTGTTGAAGGAAAAATGGGGTGGAGATCTAAAACCCCTCGTCTCAGAGAAGATTTATTTGGTACCTGGAGATATTTCATCCCCAAATATGGGATTAAAAGACTCCAATTTATTGGAAGAGATGAAGAATCAAGTAGAAATAATTGTTAATTTTGCTGCAACAACCAATTTTGATGAAAGGTACTGACTCTCTTGAACTGCAGTAAAATGCTTAAACCATAAAGTATTTCAAACTGATCTCGAGTTTGTTTACTTTCTTGCAGATATGATATAGCGTTTAGCACCAATACATTGGGAGCTAGACATGTTTTAAACTTTGCCGAGCAATGTTCTAGTTTGAAAATTCTTGTCCATGTATCCACTGGTTAGCATCAAATAATTGTTTAAAATAATTTAGTTAACAATCCACAAATTGATTGAAAAATCCTTGTTTTGTTAGCTTACGTTTCAAATCAAAGGGAAGGAGTCATCTTGGAAACTCCATGCAAATTGGTCGAGTCCGTTGATGGCACTTCAAAATTAGACATTGAAACCGAACGAAAAATAATTGAAGATAGTTTAAGAGAATTGAGAAATAATAGAGATATAGATGAAATTACGAGGAGCTTGACCATGAAAGACTTGGGCACAAAAAGGTACGAAAGATCCATGGATATCATCCTCTTTATCAATGTAACCATTTTATTCTTTTATTGTTATTAGGGCAAAAATGTATGGATATCCAAACACATACGTATTTACAAAAGCAATGGGCGAGATGTTGATTAGCGACAAAAGTGACAATCTTCGTTTGATCATCGTGCGGCCAACCATAGTTACTAGCACTTATAAAGAACCTTTTCCGGGTTGGATCGAAGGTTTGAGGTACACAAATAATATATATAGGCAACTTGGGTCGACAGGGAGCCAAAATTTTGATATCTATTTCTTCTTAAATCCCGTTTTGTCTCGAGTTTGGGTGTCCATAGTTTGGATCAGATCAAGTTGAGACATTTCTAAACTCAACCTAATTGTTTGGATTGTAAATTCTTTCAACTCAAGCAAATTTTTTGAAAACCCTGATCTTTAAATAAAGTATGCATAGTGTTTTACCATAACAACCGTTTTGTTGGCCTTGTTTCAATGATGAAAACAGTTGTATTTTACAGGACCATTGATGGCTTAATTGATGGGTATGGCAAAGGAAAACTTGCGTTCTTTCCATCTAACGCTAGCTCAATTCTAGACGTGGTGAGATGAACATAATTTCTTTCAAATTTAGATATTTCTTTCTTTCAAATTCAACAAGTTTGATGTTTCGAAGAAATGCAGATTCCAGCTGATATGGTAGTAAATGGTATCATCATGGCAATAGTGGCACATAAACTCCAACCATTTGGACATACATTAATATATCACATCGGTTCTTCAATGAGAAATGCTATGAGCAACATTGATTTGCACAGTTATATTTTTCAATACTTTACGGAAAAACCATGGATCGATAAAGATGGAAAGGCCCTCAAGGTTAAAAATGTCACCTTATTCAACGACATGGCTAGCTTTCATCGACACATGACCATTCACTACTTGATTTTTCTTAAGGTATCGTTCCCAAATCTATAACTAATGCTAACATAAAACTACGTTTAAATTTACCTTTTCTAATCAATATTGTTATTACTATAAAGGGTTTTGAGTTTGTGAACAAAGCATTTTGTTACGCTTTCCAAGACAAGTACAATGATCTTCGGAGAAAGTTCAACTGGGTGATGCGACAAGTTGAGCTTTATGACTCGTTTCTATTCTTCAAAGCCAAGTAATTTCCAAACTAATTTCATACGAAACATTGAGTTTAGTTGATATACCTCATTCTAAAATAATCGGATTTATATGACCTTTGAATGTACGTATAATTTTATTTTTGTTTGTACAGATTTGACGACACCAACTTAGAAAGACTTAGAATTACTGCACGAGACAACAATATAAATCCAAATACATTGCTTTTGGATCCTAAGGATATAAGTTGGGAGGATTACTTCCTGAACATCCACATTCCGGGACTTATTAAACATGTAATGAAATGATTATAATTTGAACCAATCTTGTTTTTTCTCCTTGTATGTCGACTTGTTTATCTGTAGCTACTTGAAAGTAGCCCAGACTTTCGAGGGCAGATCCGGGTTGATTGGTCCGGAAAGTCATGGGAGAACGAACAATTGCAACTTCAAGAATTTCTATCCTAGCTGCATATCAGCTCAATTGCTAATTCTCTTTGCTGTCTTTCTCTTGGACATCTGTAGTTCAAGGCAATATCATTAATTAATATAATTTACCAAAATTAATATAAGTAATTATTTAAGTAGAATAAATAAGAATTAATTAATTTATATATAAAAGTTTATTACTTATCTACAACAATTATTGCTTAATTAGCTAATAGCTTAAATAATTAGTGAGTTAATTAGGAAAAAGTTAATTTTCAATAACTATAATTCTTACTTAATCAATAATTAATTGGGAACAAAATAAATATTATTAATTGATTATTATACTAATTATTTACCCTAAAAATGAACGAAAATTAAATAAAAACTTTTAATTTAATAAGATGGTTGAAATACCATAACCAAACATAAATATCCTTTATTTGTATAAAATTTTGACATCATCCAATCCCAAATTTGTATGATTTCAGGCCTTTTAAACAATATTTGAGCAATAAAGGAGAGTTAATTACTTAATTATGCACATTATTATTTTCCTTCTATTTTTGGTATATATTTCAAACTTCAAGTTCCGATTATAATATAACTCTCGACTTTCGATGGACGTTTTAGAGAATAAGACCATTTTTATGATCGGTGCCAAAGGGTTTCTTGGAAAGCGTATGTTATCTTTATAAATATTTTTTTGGAAAAATTTTAATTTTCTTTTTAATCATTTATATTATATATTTTGAGAGTCCAGTTATGGTGGAGAAAATTCTAAGAGTTCATCCCAACGTGAAGAAACTTTATCTACTTTTACGAAGTGTGGATCAAATCACGGCTTCAAAACATTTCTATAATGAGGTATATAATCGTGTTTAACCCATATTTTAACTACCAAAGCACTAACTAGCTAGTTTATGTAAATACCGAACACAAAGGGTTGAACCCTTCACCCATAATCGTTATTTCAGTAAAAAAAATATAATTGATTATTTGATTCATAGGTTGTAGAGAAAGAATTGTTCAGAGTGTTAAAGGAAAAATGGGGTGGAGATCTAAAAACCCTGATCTCAGAGAAGATTTATTTGGTGCCGGGAGATATTTCATTCCCAAATATGGGATTAAATGATTCAAATTTATTGGAAGAGATGAAGAGTCAAGTTGAAATAATCATTAATTTTGCTGCAACGACCAATTTTGATGAAAGGTACTGACTCTATCGAGCTCTCTTGAATTATAAAATGCTTAAATTAAAAAGTATTTCAAATTGATCTCGAGTTTGTTTACTTTTTCGCAGATATGATGTAGCATTTGGTACCAATACATTGGGAGCGGAACATGTTGTAAACTTTGCAAAGGGATGTTCTAATTTGGAAATTCTCGTCCATGTGTCCACCGGTTAGTATCAAATTATATTATTTTTTTATTATTTAAATAATTAGGTTAATTACCCGCAACTAATTGAAAAATATTTGTTTTGTTAGCTTATGTTTCAAATCAAAGGGAAGGAGTCATCTTGGAAATTCCATGCAAATTAGTCGAATCTGTTGATGGTACTTCGAAGTTAGATATTGAATCAGAACGAAAAATAATCGAAGATAGTTTAAGAGAATTGAGAAATAATAGAGATATAAATGAAACTACGAGGAGCGTAGCCATGAAAGACTTGGGCACAAAAAGGTATGAATGATCAATAGCTACCATCTTCTTTATCAATGTAACAATTTTCTTCTTTAATTGTTATTAGGTCAAAAATGTATGGATATCCAAACACGTACACATTTACCAAAGCAATGGGCGAGATGTTGGTTAATGATAAAACCGACAATCTTCCTTTGATCATCATGCGACCGGCCATAGTCACAAGCACTTACAAAGAACCTTTTCCGGGTTGGATAGAAGGTTTGAGGTAAGAAAAAAAAAGTTCTTTAACCGATGTTCATAGGTTGTGTCCGGTAGAGTTGAGACATTCAAGCTAACTCATAAATCTTAGTTCATTTAAACTCAACCAAACCTAATTCAGACCGTATGAGTTCAAGTAATGTATGTTTGGTATTCTACCACAACAATGATTTTGTTGGCGTTGTTTGATGAGAAATGTTGTATTTTATAGGACCATAGACAGCTTTATTGTCGGGTATGCTAAAGGAAAAGTAACACATTTTCCTTCTGCCGCTAGCTCAATCTTAGACCTGGTGAGATGAAATATAATTTTTTTTAAAAAATTTTGATCTCGGTTTCTTTGAAATCTAAAAAGTTTTATGTTTTTAAAAAATGCAGATTCCAGCCGATATGGTGGTAAATGCTATCATCATGGCTATATTGGCACATAAACTCCGACCATCTAGACATAAAATTATATACCACGTAAGTTCTTCAATGAAAAATTCTATAAGTAACATTAATTTCCAAAATTATATTCTCCGATACTTTACCGAAAAACCATGGATCAACAAAGATGGAAAGGCCATCAAAATTAAGAAACTCACCTTATTCAACGACATGACTAGCTTCCATCGATACATGACCATTCGCTACATGGTTTTTCTCAAGGTATTCTTCAAAATCTATGACTAATGCTTACACAGAACTACGTTTAAATTTACTTTTTCTAATCAATATTTTTATTACAGTAAAGGGTTTTGAGCTGGTGAACAAAACATTTTTTTACTCTTTCCAAGACAAGTACAATGATCTTCAGAGAAAGTTCAACTGGGTGATGCGACAAGTTGAGCTTTATGACTCGTTTCTATTCTTCAAAGCCAGGTAATTTCCAAACCAATTTAGTTTAGTATATATACCTCGTTATAAAATAATCAAATTTGTATGACCCTTTGTATCCACCATACGTACACGAATACATGTCAAGGGGTGAGAAGTTAGAATTTAAGTAACCTGAGAGTACGAGACTTGTACGATTAGTATATCGATATTCTGAAATATGCAATCTAATGCAAGTATAATTTTATTTTTGCTTGTATAGATTTGACGACACCAACTTAGAAAAACTGCAAATGGTTGCGCGGGACAACAACATAAATCAAAATACATTGCTTTTGGATCCTAAGGATATAAACTGGGAGGATTACTTCCTGAATATCCACGTTCCTGGACTTGTTAAATATGTAATGAAATAATTATAGTTTGAACAATAACTTGTTTTTCTCGTTTGAAGTTTTATGATTTCACTAGAGTACTAAAATAAAAGACCTATTTCTTTATTAGTATTTGAAAATAGCCCAAAATAATTGTACTATCAAGAACTTCAATCCCATCCCAATAACCTATCAGCTCAACCGAGTCTATCAACACCAAACCAGGAAGCTAATGCTCTTCACTGTCTTCTCTTGGACATCCGTGATTCAAGGCAATATCTTAATTAGTCGTTGATTATTTGTTTATTAAGTGCAACGTATTTTGACCGATGAATTATGTATGCACTAATTATATTTATTCATAAACTCTGAGCTCGTATGTAAGACTTGCTTTTCGCTAAATATGATTCGTTTATTAGACTCTCTAGAGGCTTGAAATAGCTAAACAACTCGACGGTTAAAATACTTATAACCATAAATTATGCTGAAGTCAGGCGGTTCCACAGGGCTTAATAGACTAATTTGAGATATCACAACAACTTATCCTACGTGTAGACCCATGCTAATCAAGGCAGATCTCCACTAGAGTTTATTTAGCAAACCCCTAGTGGTCTCCACGACATATTGTCATTAAAAAGGTATAATTCTCCCACCCACTACCAAATAATATTAAATAATATTGTCACTCGATGGACCCGTGTGAGTTAAGATCACATGTAAGAGTAGTTGACTCAACCCTCCCATGACGACATCTAATAATTTATGTGTCGAGATAGACCCATATTCATAAAACACGGAAGCATTGCTTTTAAGACAGTCATAAATCCCAATATGCTAGTTCTCCAAATGTATATCCACACCATCTACTCGATAATAATGCTTATGTACTAATATGGTTGAAACTCCTACCATATAATTAACATGCTCATACCATTTCAAAAACTTGAACGAAAACTCCGAACAAACCTTTCCAAATTCCACTATTAAGGGTTAGTATCGAAATTGGGTTGAAACACAAGCAAACAGAAGTCGAACAAGTAGAAATAGACCATATATGAGTATTAGATTTCCAAGTCTAAAGATATCAGTACAACAACAGCACAGCCAGAAGAACCTACTACCTTAGATAGCCAACGTCTCTGCAACTTATACACATTTAGGGACAAACATTTGTATGATATTTGTGTTAAATGTAGCGTTCATATCAAAATATCTATCTATATATCAAGAACAGTGCTTCTAAAACTGATATTGACAACTTTCTTTTTTCGTTCATAATTTTTAAATTTTTTAGAATTAATGTTATGGCAGGTAAGTCTTGCCTAAATCAGGGAGAGTAGTTAATTTAAATTGATTAGAGATTAGGTGATACAATTAATGAAACCTATCATTCTATAATTTCTCTAAATGCTTAATTAAAGCAATAAAAGGAAAGTTAATTACTTGAGTTAGTTGCATTACTACTCCTTTTAATCTATTTTGGTATATAATGCAAACTTCATATTGATTTCTTCACTTTAAGACCATTTTTGTGCTGGGTGCCAAAGGGTTTCTTGGAAAGAGTATGGGAATTTTTTTTTTGATTAATTTGTGTTATTATGTTAAATATATCATTTATATTATATAGTCTTCCGAGTGTAGTTATGGTGGAGAAACTATTAAGAACTCATCCCAATCTGAAGAAACTTTATTTACTTTTACGGAATGTGGATCCCAATCACAACTTCAAAACATTTCTATGATGAGGAATATGACTATCAAAACAGTAACTAGCTAGTTTATGTTAATATTAATCATAAAAGGTTTGAATCCTTCCCCCATAATCGTTATTCGGTAAAAAGTTATAATATTACGGTTTGATTTATAAGTTGTAGAGAAGGAATTGTTTAGAGTGTTAAAGGAAAAATGGGGTGGAGATCTAAAAGCCCTCATTTGATTTGTTTGGTGTCGGGAGATATTTCATCCCCAAATATGGGATTAAAAGACTCAAATTCTTTGGAAGAGATGAAGAATCAAGTGAAAATAAACATTAATTTTGCTGCATCAACCAATTTTGATGAAAGATACCGACTCTCTCGAGCTGTGTTGATCAGAAAGTATTCCAAATTGATCCTAAGTTTGTTTACTTTCTTGCAGATATGATGTAGCATTTGGTACTAATGTATTGGAAGCTAAACATGTTTTAAACTTTGCAAAGCAATGTTCTAATTTCGAAATTCTTGTCTATGTATCCACTGGTTCGTATCCAATCATATTATTTTTTTTATTTAAATAATTTAGTTAATTACCCACAAATTGATTGAGACAAATGTTTTGTTAGCTTTTGAGGGAAGGAGTTAACTTGGAAACTCCATGCAAATTGGACGAGTCTATTGATGGCACTTTGAAGCTAAATATTGAATCATAACGGAAAATTATTGAAGAGAGTTTAAGAGAATTGAGAAATAATAGAGATATAAATGAAATTTTGAGAAGCTTGGCCATGAAAGACTTGGGCATAAAAAGGTATGCAAGATCAATAGATATCATCCTCTTTGTCAACGTAACAATTTTTTTCTTTTATTGTTATTAGGGCAAAAATGTACGGATATCCAAACACGTACGCATTTACGAAAGCAATGGGCAAGATGTTTCTGAATGATAAAATTGACAATCTTCCTTTGATCATCGTGCGACTAACCATAGTCACAAGCACTTACAAGGAACCTTTTCCCGATTGGTTCGAAGGTTTGAGGACCATTGATGGCTTTATTGTTGGGTATGGGAAAGGAAAAGTTACACGCTTTCCTTTTGATGTTAGCTCAATCTTAGACTTGGTGAAATAAATATAATTTCTTCCAAATTTTAATCTCTTTCTTACCAATCTAAGAAGTTGGATGTTTTAAAGAAATGTAGGTTCCAGCCGACATGGTAGTAAATGCTATTATCATGGCAATACTTACACATAAACTCCAACCATCTCGACATACAATTATATATCACATAGGTTTTTCAATAAGAAATTCAATGAGAATTGATAATATGTTTAGTTATATTCACCAATACTTTACGAAAAAACCATGGATGAATGAAGATGGAAAGATCATCAAGGTTAAGAAAATTACCTCATTCAACGACATTGCTAGCTTCCATTGATACATGACCATTCACTACGTCTTTCTCAAGATATGTTCCAAAATCTATAACTAATACTTACACGAAACTATATTTCAATTTACATTTTCTAATCGGTATTGTTGTTACTGTAAAGAGTTTTGAGTTTGTGAACAAAGCATTTTGCTACTTTTTCCAAGACAAGTATAATGAGAAAGTTCAACTGGGTGATGCGACAAGTTGAACTTTATAACTCGTTTATATTCTTCAAAGCCAAGTAATTTCTAAATTAATTTTATACGAAACATTGAACTTAGTATATATACCACGTTCTAAAATAATTAGATTTGCGTGATTTTTGTATCCACGGAACATATGAATACATGTCAAAGGTTAATAAGTCAGAATTTATATAATCTGAGTTTACGAGACTTTGTATAACTTTATTTTTGCTTGTACAGATTTGACAACACCAACTTAGAAAAACTGAGAATTGTTGCACGAGACAATGACATAAATCCAAATACATCGCTTTTGGATCCAAAGGATATAAACGGGGAGGATTACTTTCTGAATATCCTCATTCTTGGACTTGTTAAATAGGTCATGAAATGATTATAATATGTATGAAGTCTCATCTTTATGTGTACTCGAAAGTGCCTAAAATAATTACAATTTCAAGAACTTCAATCCCAACAACATATCAGCTCAACCGAGTCCAACAACACCAAACTAGCTAGCTAATTCTCTTTGTTGTCTTCTCTTGGACATCCGTGATTCAAGGAAATATCTTAATTAGCTGCAACTTTAATGTGTTTTGATCAATGAATTATGTGTGCAAAATTTACTGGTGGAAGATCTCTATAGTCCAAAGCTGAACAAGTATTGCAGAGATGTTAATGATAATAGGTAAGGAATTTCAATCCATCTTCTTCTACCATGTGTTTCAACACTGCACATGGATATCTTTCTATTGTCAAACTGAAGCTAACCTTTCCTTTTAAAGAGTAACATCCCCATGTTCTAAGAATTCTTATGCAACAAAGAATTCTTATTATACAACAGTCCAAGCCTACCGTTAGCAAATATTGTCCACTTTAGCTCATTACACACTGTCAGCCTCACAATTTTAAAACGCATCTATTGCAAAATATTTTTTTTTATAGTCGTGATGTTCGCACCTCACAAATTTTTTATTTCGGGGTCCTAAATAAAAGCTTAATATTTTTTAAACGTTTTTATGTTCTAACTATTTCTAGACTATCAAGTTTGGAAGGAAATTTTTGGAGCATTGTAGAAATTCATTAATTGGAGCAGCAACCAAAAAGTTTGACGATGAGCTGCTTGTTGTAGTGAACCTCCAATTTATTACATCCTTCAATTTTTCATACGAGTATGTCAACAGTTAGTTGTAAGTTTTAATGGTTTTGGCTGGAAAAAAGCTTTCTTTTCAGTCTTCAACTACAGTTCTGTAACCTAATTGAATTTGAATTTCATGTCCATTTGCATTTTCACATAACACATCTAACACAGGTGTCAACGGGGGCGGGAACAAAGAAATTTTGATAGACAGCTTTAGTGAGACACCTTGTTTAGTCAACCTTTTTCCATAATAATGAGGTTAGTTGACAAATATAAAACCACAAAAGATTTCTATAAAACCTCGTTGCTCCTAATTCAAATTCACCTGAAATCCCTCTCTCATGGATAAGTGTAGCAGAGCAATGGAGTTTCTTGAGAACAGGAACATTCTGATCACTGGGGCCACTGGTTTTCTTGCTAAGAGTATGTATTCTTCTTCTCTTATAAAGGATGTTCTGCATTTTTCACGTCAATTTATGAACTAGTGTCTCATTTTGTTGGAAAATTCCAGTTTTGGTGGAGAAAATCTTGAGGGTTCAACCAAATGTGAAGAAGCTCTATTTACTGTTAAGAGCAGCAAACGAGTTGACAGCATTGGAACGTTTCCATAACGAGGTATAGTT